CAAAATGTAAGCAAATGCGCCACAAAATAGATATAAGGTTGGTCGCTATTCCAACCAACAACATATGGTTCGCCGCTGAATTTGTGGTGACTCGGCACTTACTTTCGTGACGACTAAGAGGTCGCCCAGAAAGTCGTCATTGAAAACCTTACTTCTACTTCTTGTAGTGAGTGTCTTCCAAAAATATAACATCCCTTGATAAATAGACTTTATTTTTGACAGGATCAAAATATTGTCGGAAATATATTTGAGATTTGTTGACATACTAAAGATTCTTGTTTGAGATTTGTTGGAATAAATATGCAATGTGCAAAGCATCCCAGGCAGCCTTGGCAGTGGCTGTAGCGGCGAAGTAGCAGCAAGTGTAGGATAAATCGAAGGAAGTAGTGATTGATAAACCAGAAACTTGCTCCACATTTACAAAAAACTTAAAAAGAACAAACTTTAACACCAGAAAGCATTCAGTGATTGATATTTGGCATAGTGGAACCTCATTGTCATGAGATATAACCCTAGAAAAGTGACTAAATTGCACCATAGGGAGGAGGAGGGAGAGGAATCGTGCCAATTTCCAGCCCTCGACGAGCACCCAAAATGTTCAGCTCGAGAGTTGCCTTGTACTGAGAAGGTATTTCCATCAATGCTGCCAATGCAAACTCTGCTTCTTTCCTGGACCAGTTCACATTTTTTGACATGATTTCTGTAAAATTAACAAACTGGAAATTGTCAAACGCTCGAGCAGGTATATTGTCATCGAATTCCCTCATCATATCCCACGGCCCATCTCCAACCCCAACTACAACAATAGACAAGGCATATTGGCTTGCTTTCACAATTGCTTCAACTGTTCTCTTCTCTTGAGGGCTTAATTGACCACGCGCAGCATCTACACTTGTTGTAACCTGTCCATCTGCTATTATCAACAAAACATGGTATTGGCCACCACTCTGCTCTACAATACTGATTGCCACTTCAATAATAGGAGCAAACGACGTTGGTCCAGCAAGGCGTAATTGAGGAACTAATTCTCTATATCGACTCAGTACTTGCTCGAATCCATAACATACTTTCTCATCCTGATAGAAACTGAAGACTTGTTGGTCATGTGTTGAGGCATCACCAAATCCAAAACAAGGAATTAAGTTGTCCTCATCAAACTTTGATAGTGTTCTTCCAATGATAGATATTGCTTGTTCATATGGATTTTGCTGATTATCCGCGATATGATGCAAACTTTTCCCTTGGAATGACCTTGCACCGGTCCACTCATTGCTCTTGGTAAAATCGATGCCAACAATTAAGTTCGAAGACTCTAGTCCTGCACGTGCAAGCGCATCAGTAACCTGTTCTATGCTGTTGTAGTCATCGTTGATCTTTGAATATTTCCTTGATGCAGGAAGTGGACCACAATATGCCTGATAAGTCGGATAATTGTAGCTTGGTTGAGTATATGATGACTGCGGATTGCCTGAATATCCGCCAGTTTTTGGCCTCTTTGAACACTTGCCACCCATGAAATCTGCAGTTTGTAATATCTCTCAAACACTTCAATTGATATAGCAAACTTTGTAACATTAACTAGCTAGTTAAACGATTTACTCAATCTTTTTACCACCTAGTAAATGATAGGTTTAACTTTGGCACTTCAATTTTTAATGGTCTCTTCGCATAAATGATGATTTTCAACATACTCTGAATCAAGTCATATATACCACCAAGACATATTGATTAATACATAGTCTCGTGGGAAAACTTGAGTTGCGCGAATACTTCATTTGTGGTGCCACACCCGTGTCGACACGACACTGACACTAAGTATGGGTGTGGGATACGTAGCGGATCTAGTCAAATTTTGACCGTAAACTACGAAGATATTAGATATAAGATTTGGCATTTTGATATCTCAAAACAAAAGCGATTGTAGATTTCTAGATGTCTACTTACAACTTGAGAATAAAAGATTATGTTACTACACTCTACATGCTACATGCAAGTTTTCCACATAATGTCTCATAATTTAGGCATATTTTTATAGCTCTACTTTTAGATATAGTCGAATCCAATGCAAGCACATGTATCCGTACCTAGATCCATATTCATAATCTTAAAATTTCAATCTTGATGGATCCGACCTCTGGATCTGCACCCGTTTGGACCGAGCCTGAGGGTTCAATTCTATATTGCGAAAGATTACATAATAATGTTCTAAACATGCAAGAAAGTGTAATATTTTGGCTAATCTGAAAGTGGGAGTAAATACCTGTTGGAAACTTTCTTGAACTTCCTTGTCTTGCAGATATGCTTCCCAAGAATTGTAGTGTAGTTCGGACGGTTTACTGCATTATATTTATAATATCAATTCTAATCCCACTCCAAGTAGGTAATTCCAATAGGAATTGTTTCTTTCCATATTAATAATTTTTTTGTACTGGGAAAAAAAAAAAGAACAATCATATTCCGTTTGGGATCAACTAATTTTTTCTATCTGATAAAAAATAATTGTAAAACTCTAAATTAAATAATCTTCTTACAAGAATCAAACATTTGTATGTGTGCGACTCCACGTTCAAAACTAGAGCCTATTTGACCAAATTTTGAGAATCTGCTTATTTTGAAAAATGTGTTTTTCATAAGAAATGCTTTTTGAAAATAGTTTTGGATAGTAGTAATTTATGTTTGTCCAATACATTTAAGGATGTTAATATTAGAATATCAATTTATGTTTGATCAATCTTTTCAGAAAGTACTTTTGAGTGTCATGTTATAATAAATATATATAGAAATTCACTTTACAAATAATATTATTTAACTAGATAAATAGTTTTAAATATTTCTTATGATAGATTGTAGCTAAACATTTAGTTTCATTTAATCTAAATGTATAAAGTAAAATAAGTATAATTAAACCAACAATATGGCACTTGACATTTCATACGGGTATTTTAATTGTTAAGATGATTTAAGTAGGGATAGTTTGATATATATAAATTTTTGTTAAGGATATTGTTGTCACGAATAAAATTAAAAATAACTTCTACTTCTACTTCTGCTTCTACTTTTTGGGAAAAGTTATTTTTCTGACTTCTTCTCCACGATAGGAAAACAGCTTCTGCTGCCACGCAAAAGCACTTATTTTTTTCTGAAAGCTTGGCCAAAAACCTCAATTCTCCAAAAGAAGCTTGACCAAATAGGCTATAAGACTTGCCTCTTCTAACTCTTTTTAATGTAGCTTAGTAGATAATACAAAATCCAGTCTTATGTTCTTTTTTCTGTTATTCTACTACATTAGTTAGCTATTAATTTGTAACTTTGAATTATAGCAGATATGGAAACAAAGATCGTGAAGGATTGTGGTTGGAGGGATAGGATATACCTCGATACTTACCAAAGCTCTTGAGTTCGAGGCCTGGAAATAGAGAAAATCTGTTAAAATAGCACGGGCTAGCCAGTTTTCGGACTGGTCATTCAAAAATAGTCGGTGTTTGCCAAGTCATTGAAAAATAGCCACTATTTTGCTGCAACAGAGATTGGTCCAGCATAATATACTGGAGTTCCAGCAAAGTATACTGAAACTCCAAACTCCAGTATAATATACTGGAGTTCCAGTATATTATACTGGAATTCCAGTATATTATGTTGGAGTATTTTCCGAATTTTGAACAGTGTTTTCTTTCAGATTTATCTTTATATGAAAAATGGCTAAATTTCAATGACTTTTGAAACTGTGTCTATTTTTGAATGACCACTTGTAAATCTGACTATTTTTGAATTTCTCCCGATAGTGTAGCACTTCAGAAATTCTCAAAATGCGTAAAGCCTAGTTGAAAGTTTATCAAGTACTCCCTCTGTTCCTACATAGAATTTTTAAGTTTTTTTGGGAATAAAATTTACATATTTGAAAACTAAATAAAGAGTATTATAGACCCTTGTGGTCGGACCCTTTCCCGAACCCCGCGCATAGAGGGAGCTTAGTGCACCGGGCTGTCTTTTTAAATAAAGAGTACTATAATTAACAATTCAAAATATTTTAATAGTAGGGTGTTTAATGAAGTTCTGTTAGCATAATCATTATCAGCTGGTTTGGTATAGCTGTTTGTCTACAATCAAAATGCCAAGGAGGGGTACAAGGTGGATTTTCATTCAATCTTTTCTACAGCATGAAAATTTGCACAAGCAAGTCAATAACTATGTAACATTATTTTCTCAGTTAGTTGCAACAATCTAATTGTTACCATTATGTATTCAATACAGTCAAATACAAGGCTAGACATCAATATACATCAAGACTGCAATTTTTTTAATGACCGAGAAATTCATCCGGGGCCATTCCTCATGACCAAACGCGGCCTTCAAAACTCGGGGATAATAGGTCTGCCCCTCTACCCTTCTCCGCTTAAATATCAGTCATAGTTCGCATGGCGCAGGGATTGAACCTTTGAAGTCAAAAGTCCCTCAATCAACCTTTGCGACTTGAACTAAGCCTTGGGGGCGAGCGTAAAGATTATCTATTCTATATCACTGAAATTGAAGGGAAGAAAGAACTTAAGCTTCCATGAACTAGAAAGAAAGAAAGGCAAGAGGAAAGAATAAACTGAGGGAACTTGAACATTCATCTTACTTAGCAATTAGAATGACTAATTTTCTCTTAAAATAAGTCAAGGAATTTCAATAACATGACATATAAAGCATGGTTCAGCCAATTCAATTTGGCACCTGCACATTGGAGCTCCATAGAAGTGGTTAAGTATAGCTAAACAGATAGAAATGAGTTAGGTGAAAGTGTCCCACAACCTAACACTTTTAGGAAAGTTGAAGAGTCTCTTTAAGTTACTTGCTCTTGTGCCTAATGCCAAAGATCTTGTGAATGCTAAACCTACACATCACATGTTCAAAATAATCTTTCATTTCTATTACTAATTTTTCAAATAAAATAAATTAAAGAACCGGCTCAAATTCATCGCTCAGCAGTTCAGAGTAGAGTGTCAACAAAAAACACCATAGCCGCCTTTCAAGCTGGGGTGGAAAAAGCTCATTCACCTCAAGTAGGTTCAGACTCAACTCAGTGACCAAGCATATGAGTAATTAAATGGCATAATACTAACATTATCATTAAATTGTTGAATCATTGTCAAATATAGACTAGCCAAGAAAAACTCTGAACCTTAGGACCAAAAAAGAGCTCCCAAGAGAGAATATCAAAACAGTTTGCTATACAAAACCACACAAGCTATGTTGACTACAACACGACCTTAACAGAAGCACGGCATTTTTGGACACGAGATTTGACAAACCATAATACTTGGACAGGTTCCGTATCCAAATATAAGTGAACTTCTCTATACAGCTTGCTCTTTTTATTTTTCACTTTTTATTGCAAATCCTGTTGATCCTGAACATAGAGTAGTGAATGGAGAACCATAATGCTGCCACCAATTTGGTGCAAGAACTCAACCATGTAGCAACTATATCAGCAATGGCAGAGGAGAGGATAGTGCAGAGAGCATAGCTGACCTCAAAAGTGGCTAGCTGAGGTTCACCGTTTGGGCTCATTTAACGTCTTACCCTCAAAGAATTCACCAAGCATACGGTCAAGATCTTCAGCTGAATATCTGATGTACTTTTGGGAGTTTTTACCACTCTCAACTAAAGGCCTGACAGACAGGAAAAAGGAGCATTTTACATCATCTCAACTTTCCTATGGAATTAAACAACATAGGAAATACTCCTTATGTTCCATCTTATACGACACTATTACATATTTTGTTAAGTATAAAACTTGTGACATGTAGTACTACTTTATGTAGCTTCTAACTATGTAAATTTTATTCAGGAAAGAGTAAAGACTGGATTTACATAATTAGAAGGTTATACCCTCCTAGCAATGCGAATTATTTAAAGCATGAAGCAAAAGAACTGTCTCTGTGTCATATATTTAAAAGATGGCAAGTGACCAAATATCTTATTTTTTCCGTTTTAGTACTGGAATTGAATTTGAATAAAGAATTAATAGAAGACGGAATCACTGAAATCTTGTTTCATCTTCACTTGAAACTTGAGTAAGGAGCAACTATCTAGCTACATCACGTTAGAGGTTTCAATAAACAAGCATGCAAGAGAGAAATAATAGCAAAATCAAATAAAAAATACCCAAAGCGTTTAATGAAAGATCTGTATGCAGGCAGCAAAACTTCAGCGACCGCAAGCCTCAATGACTCTCGCAACTCAGTATCTGGAACAGTCCATTGAGTTTGCCGTTGATGAAGCTCTTCAAACTGCACATTGAATATCTTAAACCTGATAAAGAGTAAAAAAGTTATTCATATCAGAACCAAGATTAGATCATCACTGTTAACAAAAGTTTCTAAAATAAGAAACCTGAGAACCTACCTGTCTTTCACAATCGATCTTGAAACTCCACTACTATTCTGTCCATCTACACTACCAGAGTTACTGCCTCCAGATGATGTTAGCCCTTGAATTGATAGGCATTGAAGGATCTACTCAAGAATAAAACAAAGTGTTGATTAGGACAATTGTATGGGAATTTCATATTCTTTGTCCACAGTGATCATTCTCATGGCATGACATAATTCCACCATTTGAAAAGAATTTGACAGTTCAGAAAGAGCAGTTAATTTGCACATAATAAAAATTAAAGCGAAGGTAACTTTATTTTTTAAAACAAGTAAAAGAAAGGTAATTATAATTGCACCTATTCAATGTTCTTCATAATTTTATTTACTAATCTAGAGATGATTTTCCAAAAACGCACCCGATATGATAACTAGATTTAACATTCTCAGATACTTTAACAAACTGCACACCTACTTTAACAAAAACGATGCAGGAAACTTCCCCCTCGCTGGAAAACGAATAAGATAAATAGAAGTTTGCCAAACATTGAACTATCTGTGGTTGCATCTACCTAAGCTCTTCCTTTATAGAAACAATCTTGTTGGCAGCAAGCAAAGAGTTGATATGATGATGGAATTGGTTGCAAGGGAAGATTCTCCGAGACGGCAGGAAAAAGGAAATCTATGATACATATAAAGGTTAATGACCAAAGTGAGACGGTCTATCCCTTTTTCTACTTTGCAGTTATTGTCATGCGAAAAAAAAATGATCCTGCTCTATGCACTCACACAAGCTCTTGATATGGGGTAGAAAATGGAAGCTCATCAGGTGAGGGCAAATGATTCAAATAATAGTACACTAACTGATCAATCACCATAATCATAAATGAGACANTAAATTTTATATACTTTTTCGACTACCAGATGTAAATAGTTTTTGGGGAAATATTTTGGCCCAAACTCTTTCTACACAAGCAAGTTTTGTTTATTTATTCTTTTTTTAATTAGATAAAATATTCTAGTAATTGTCTCTCTTGGAGACCAATTATCATATTTGGGGAATGTATCTATTTTATTCGAGCAAAGAAAGAGAATTGGATAATTTTACAACTACACGAAAAATGTTGTACACTATCTAAATGTATAAATAATGTGTATGCGATGATTTTTAGTCTTTCGTAAGGTTGGCATGTGGACAGGGCCCGGTCCTAAGTGGGCTTCGTGGGCTGGTCCTAAGTGGGCCCGGTCTCAACGTAAATGGGCCTATGTGGGCTCGGACTTCGCGAGCTTTTTGTTGGAACGGGTCCGGGACCAGACTAAGTGAACCTAAGTGGGCCCAATAAATACTTTCTTTTTTTAAAAAAAATTATAGAAGTAAGAGAAAAAAAATGGTAATAAAAACATCTAAGGCAATTCCTTATAAATTATATTATAGAATTGTGACCTAAATTTTTTAATTCAAATTTAAAGACAAAAATATTGTAAAGAGATATTCAATGCAATGCGTAAGGCTGGCATGTGCGTCGGGCCCAGTCCTAAGTGGGCTTCATGGATCGGTCCTAAGTGGGTCTGGTCCCAACTTAAACGGGGCCTATGTGGGCCCGAGCTTCGCGGGCTTTTTGTTGGAACCGGCCCGAGACCGGGCCCACGAACTAATGGTCCCAGGCAAAATGGGTCGGTCCCGAGCCTAAGTGTGCCCAACAGATACTTTCTATATTTTAAATTTTTTTTTATAGAAGTTAGAAAAAAAATGGTAATAAAAATATATAAGGCAATTCCTTGTAAATTATATTATAATTTTGGTTGGGTTCCGAGACATGGGTCCGTGTCGACTTTTTGGAGCGATTTTTCAATTCTTTGCTAAAGTCATAGATTTATTATTTAAATTAGTTTCTTATAGTTATATTTATAGTATGTAATTCTTTTGACCAGATTCGAGCCGATCGGAGTTGGAAAGTCAAGGTAAAGGCATTCTTATTGATTGATTGAATGAGATTTGAAGTAGGTGACTTATCTAACCTTATGTGGGGGGAAACTTCCCTTAGGTTTGGTTCTGTTATGGTATTTGTAATACGTGAAGGCCGTGTACGCGAGGTGACGAGTGCGTACTCGGGTTAAATATTAAAAATCTTATTCTTGCTAAGTGGTTTCCTTTCTAATTCCTTAACTGAGTTACTCTAGCATGTGTAGTCATCATGTTTAGCCTAATGTCGCATGTCTACGTGTCTTATCTCTTACTTGCAATTTGTGCAACATACTTAGTTAGATTTTTTGTTTCCTTGATCTTGTATTTAGTCTTTAACTGTAGGATTCCTTTCTGTAATTTCAGTGTCCCATCGGTTATCTGTTGCATATTTATTTTGGGATTACGAGGCGGTATCTCGGGAGCGCCCCTGTTGTGTATTTACTTTTGGGATTACGAGGCGGTACCTCGGGAGCGCCCTTGTTGTGTATTTACTTTTGGGACTACGAGATTGTACCTCGGGAGCATCCCGGTTATGTATTTACTTTTGGGACTACGAGATGGTACCTCGGGAGCGCCCCTGTTGTGTATTTACTTTTAGGACTACGAGGCGCTACCTCGGGAGCGCCCCTGTTACATATTTACTTTGGGACTATAAGGCGGTACCTCAGGAGTGCCCCTGTTGTGCATTTACTTTTGGGACTACGAGGCGGTACCTCGGGAGCGCCCCCGTTGTTTACCTCTATTTGTTGTGTTGTTATCTTTCTGTAATTTTTCATTGTTCACTTCTCAACCATTTCATTATATTATTATATCTTCTTCCTTGTTTCCTATTATCTCCAGTAGGACCCTGACTTGACCTCGTCTCTACTCTACTGAAGTTAAGCTTGGCACTTAATGGGTACCATTGTGATGTACTCATACTACGCTTCTACACATATATGTGTGCAGATCCAGTGCATCTTACCAGCCCAGATATTAGTACGCTGCATTGCTGCTTGGAGACTTTAAGGTACACCTACCCGCGACCGCAGGCCTCGGAATCCCCTTCTATTCCGTTCTTCTCTTATTTCTTTATATTTTGATAGACAATGATGTATAGGATTATTCGGTATTGTACTTAAAGCTTGTGACTTATATCTCACTATGTTTTGGAATTTTACATTTTGAGATTTGGTAGATTCCTTTTATGAAATTGTTGGGATGTTCAAGTTTTAATCTCTTATTTAATGTTTCCGCGTATTATTTAGGCTTACCTAGTCTTAGAGACTAGGTGCCGTCACAATATCTCACGGAGGAAAATTGGGGTTGTGACACTTACAGAGTACATGAGGTCGGTTGTATTCACACTACACTCTGCACTTCTTGTGCAGTTGGAGTAAGTCCCAGCAGCAGTCAGTAGATTGCTGGGGTTGACTATTGTATGGAGACTTGAGATACAGTTGCTCGACGTTCGCAGCCCTGAAGTTCCCTTCTACTTTAGCTTAGTTGTATATTTTCTTTTAGACAACTTTACTTTCATTGAGACCTTTATCTGTATTATTCTAGTAGCCTGCGCACTTGTAACACCAGATCCGGGGTTGTATTTAGATATTTCGGGTTTTATAACTTCTCGCACTTTATTCTAGTTCTATTACAGTTATTTCAGTTTAAATGGCATTTGTTAATTTGATTTGATAAAAATGGCTTAAAACTATTCTAATGTTGGCTTGCCTAGCAAGTGAAATGTTAGGTGCCATCACGGTCCCAAGGGTGAAATTTCGGGTCGTGACAAGTAAAAAGTTTGCACTTGAGATGCACTTAAGGTCAAATAGGTCTGAAGTGCAACCAATATTTTCATGCACTAACGGCCAAATAGGTATGATGTGAAAAAATTACACTTCAGATGCACTTAACGCCAAATAGTTCTGAAGTGCAATAAATGTTTTCATGCACTTAAAATCAAATATGGTTGAAGAGCAAATTGCCAAGAAATAGAAACTTATTCTTCAAATTTTAATAATCCAATACACGATTTAACACTTAAATCTACTCCAAATGTGTCCAAATTTGAAACATAACTTTCAAATATCATCAAAATAAATTTCAATCATTAATTTGTCAAAACAAAAATAAATGTATCAAACCCATTTTGCAATTAAGAAGAAAAAGAAACCTTAAGTAATAGTAAAAAATAAAGTGTCACAGCAGCTCACCATTGTAAAACACCATAAATCACCTTAAAACATGCTCACAAACACCATATAAATCCACCATCACCTTTATTTTAACAACGAAGAAGGAGTAGGAGAAAAAGGCATGAAGTTGTCTATACTTTGAGTACTAGTTAAAATGATTTTAGAAATAGGGTACAGGTTAAATGGGGACGACCAAATAGGGCGCCTTATGAAATTTTTAGGGATCTTTATACAAATAGCCAGTCATATTTATTATTTACTTTTTCTAGCCATACATAGATTATACACACATAATACATAAATTATGCATATATTATACCTCAATCGGTTATTTTCAGTTTAAGTGATTGGATGGACGGTTATTTGGGTTAATTCTTCACTTTTTTACACTTCACTTTACAGTGATTATGCTCTAAAAGTTTTTGGGCTTTAGGCGATTCCAATGGGCCATCGGGAGGCAGACCCATTACGTATTAGCCTACTGGATGGCTAGAAAAGAGAAGGGTAAAATCAGGGGCGGCTCAAGCGTATGTGGGGCCTAAGGCAAAAGTTTAATATGGGGCATAAGTATTTATAAGAACGTTATAATATATATTTTTATTTAAAATCTATTCTTCTAGCTTTTTGAGATGCAAAGTTGTTAATATTTTTTTTTATAATCTATTCTTCTAATTGTTTTATAATCGATTGTTATTAAATTTTCAACTTTTCTTTTCTTTTGGATTTTTGAATAACCAGATGCATATTTTCTTGTTTTCATATTTATATTCTAAAAATATTAAACAATATGTATGGAGTAAAATTAATAAAATAAAAAATAATAAATAAAAATAATACTAGAAAGTTAGAATGATATTACTCAATGTCTGATTCAAGAAGTTTGAAAACTTTGATTCCAAAANAACTTTGATTCTAAAATATCTAGTTGTTGGCGTAGGAGAAAGAAAGAAATCTAGTAGAATTGTAGAAAGAAGATGAGCATGAATAAAGAGGAAGGAGGAATGTATATCTCATATATGGAATATCAAATATGG